AGGGGGAAGGGAGGGATGGAAGAAGCATCTATTAACCCTCTATGTGCCAGGTACTGTGTTTTCACAAATATCTCTTTTGAACCTCACAATAGCCCTGTGAAGTAGATCCTATTATTATCCACATTTTTATAGTTGAGGAAACTGAGGTAGACAGAAGTTAAGTGATTTGTTCAGGGTAATGGCTAATAAGTATCTGAGGCAAGATTTTTTGGGGGGGAGGGGCTAGGCAATGAGGCTCAGTGACTTGCCTGGGGTCACACAGCTAGTGTCAAGTGTCTGAGGTTGGATTTGAACTCAGGTCCTCCTGTCTCCTGGGCCAGTGTTCTATCTACTGCCTCCACCTAGTTGCCCCTGAGGCAAGATTTTAACTCGGATCTTCCAGGGACTTTACAAAGGCTAGGGAGGGATTAGAAATTCCTAATCTGAAGGGATTAGGTATTACCTATATGCCTTTACTTCTAATCCCTCTTTGCCATTCCTAGTTTACACAAGAAGAATGGCATTGAACCAGGATGGTGCTTGCTCTGCCATGCAGTCTAAACTTGGGCAAGCAATCCTGTCAAGAATGGTGTCAAATAGCAGATGATTAAAAAAAAATGTATCATCACCTTTATAGTAAAAACAGTCCAGTTAACATATAGGTCCTGAGGGCACCCAGTCAGCAACCTATTGTTTGACCACCTGGCATCCTTATAGTCACAAGTGTACAGGTACAGTTTTTCAAACATAGTTGCAGTTGGCTTATTACACAGAACTCCTGGTTCTGCTCTTTTTACTGTGCTTTATCGTGTATTGATCTTCCCAAGTTTCTGTTTACTCTTTGAGTTTGTCCTTCTTCCTGGCCACGTCATCCTCACTGCCTGGTGTATCTGTCTATCACCAGTCTGCTTAGTCATTTTCCAACTGTGAGACATTTAGGTTGTTTCCAATTTTTCCCTATTACATATAGCACAGCTATGAACATCTTTATACAAATAGGTCTCTGTTTCTCCCTCTTTATTTACTTGGGAGAGATTCCAAAGGATGGGATCACAGGATTTGGCCAGTTTGGTGACTTTTGTTACGGCCATATTGCTTTCCAGAGAGATTGGGCCAACTTTCATGGTGACTGTCACTTGTGAGAGGAAGAGTGGTACCACAGAAAGAGCCCTGACTGGGGAGACAGAGGATCTGAATTAAAATTCTACCTCTGATACCTATATGACCTTGTGCAAGTCATTCAACCCACCTGTGCCTTAGTTTCCTTATCTGCATAATGAGGAGGTTGAACTAGATGGCCTAAGGTCCCTTCTAGGTCAATCTTAATGTTCCTAGGACCTGTTTCCCCATTTCTTCTATAATATTTCATTTTGTCCAATGTCATCTTTCCCAAAGTATAGAATAGTTAGAAGGTTAGAGTTGAAAAGGATCTTAGAAATCTTCTGGTTCAGCCATCTCATTTTACAGATGTCACAGAGGCCCAGAGAGGGGAAATGATTTACTGAAGGTCACAAGGGAAGTTAATAGCAGAGCCCAGGACTTGAATCTAGGTCTCCTAGACTCCTTATCTGCTTGTTCCATGCTATGACATCTCCTTTAGGTGAGATTGTGCCTCATGATTCTTTTAATTTGCATTTCTTTCATTATTGGTGCAACTGGACATATTTCAGGTGTTTATTTACTGTTTGGTTTTCTGTTTGGTGAATTAGGTGATAGACCAGGGTTTTCCACTCCCTGACATATAGGTTAGTTCTTTTCCTAAGAACTAGGTAGCCTCCTAGGAAGACCCTCAAAACTTGATCATCTCAAGGAGCTAAGGCTCAAGCTACATAGCTGTTGAAGCAACTTTCTAGAGGCCTCAGGATGTATTAACTGAGACTCCCTACTCTCCTTGGGCCTGTACATTTGGAGTCAGGGCCCTTCCAGACTTGGCAGACTTCCCAAGGCTGAGTGAGGCACCACACCCTACCCTGCAGACCAGAACCACTTCCATATGGAGGTTAGGGAGGCTGAGTCTTCCAGGTTCCTTGTTGAGCTGTTCCTGGTTGAATTACTTTCTCAACAAGGCTAAGTAAACCTCCTCTTCTTAACTGATGAATGATACATTCCAGTATGAGACCTAAACTACCAGGAGACTGGCTTCTGTGACCTACCCTACCACATATCCTTTGACTAAGCAGTGAGGATTGAGAACTATCCTTATAAATTTGTATAAGTAAATTCTGGATATTAAGCTTTCCCCTGGTAAGTATTTCACAAAACACTTTTCCTAATGTGACTCCTGGCCCAGTAAGTCCCTTTCCACAATGGGCTTTGGCTTTGAACTTACCAGTTAGGTTCATGGTTAGGGAGACTGGGAAGAGGGTGAAGTTAAACTTCTTTTTGGCTCATGGCTCCAACACTAGAGTAAGTCAGAAAAATCTCTAAAACAAAGTTTAGGTAGGACCCACATCTAGGCTCTCCCCCAAAGCAGATAATAAGGTTCTTTGTAGGAACAGTATTCAAGGGGCAAGTTGAATATTCTGGTAAAGGACAACAGATTATTTCCTTCACCATTAAAAAATGCTTAAGACACAGAAGAATTAAAAGACGCATATTAACAAGTACAAATCAACATAAAACCATAATTTATCACATGCTATACTCTTCTAATAGATAAAGACAATTTTGTGAGGCTACTGAACAGATATTTAGGATGTTTTCCCTTTACCTCAGTTTTATACTGTCTAAGCAACTCCAAGAACAATTCAGCTGCTGTTTCATGGCTTGGACTTTTTAGTCCTTCTGTTGCAAAAAAAAAAAAAAACAACACAAAAAACAAAAAACCACACACACAAAAAAAAAAGAAAGAAAAAGAAAAAAAAGAAAGAAAGAAAAGAAAAAGAAACAAACCAAAAAACCCTTCCAGCAGTGCTGCTTTTGTCCTTTGAGAAGTGCTATGGTGGAAATCATTTCCTACTGGGCATCCTGCACCCAGCTGGAAAACATGGAACTTCTTGAGCTTATGAGGCTACTGCCAGGGCTGGAAAACCCATTTTTAAGGGTTATTGATGGTTGGATGAGTTTTGATCAGAGAAAGAAACAAAAAGGCATTAGAGGAAGCCACAGTCTTGAGGTTTAGTGGAAAGCTTGTCCAGGCAAACACATTCACATTGCCATGTGCTTGTTACTGCTGTTGCCTCTTGGGGAGGGAGGGAAAGAAATCTTTCTCTACCCTTATACCCTTTGTTGGAAGTCCAAGGGAGAGATGGATATAGGCAGGACCCCAAAGGACCAGAAAACATTTCTCTTTGTTCTTTTTATACATGATGACTCTTGATTCAATTGTCAATCATTTTCAATGCAACCACCATCACTGGGGATGGTGAACTCTTAGGAGTTGCCAAGTCATCCCAAAGCACTTGTCTTTTCCAGAAGGGACCAAAACACATGCCCAGCTCCATAGGAGTTACTCCCAGACCATCAAATCAGATGTTTCTCCTGACTATCCCCACAACAATAAACTTGTATTTTTATTTTTATCATGCCATTTTCTTAAAATTACATAATTAAAACTTTGTTTTAATTTGTAGTTGTTCAGTTGTGCCTGTGCCTGTGACTGTTCCTGACCCTATTTAACGTTTTCTTGGTAAAAACACCATGGTTTGTCATTTCCTTCTCCAACTCATCTGACAGAGGAGAAACTGAGACAAACAAGGTTAAGTGATTTGCCCAGAGTGACAAGGCTAGTAAGTGTCTGAGGTCAGATTTGAACTCAGGTGTTGGTTGACTCCAGGCCTGGTGGTCTATCCACTGTACCACCTAGCTAAATCTAACCCCAATAATTTCTTCTTTTGCTTCATTCAAGAATTTAATCTCTAAGATATTTTCCAGTTTTAGATCTATGATTCTATGGATTGAATTAAATTGAATGAAGTCAAAATAACTTAAGGCCATACAGTTTCAGCATCAGAAGCTCATATGCTGTTCCTTCCAGGAAACTGCATATACCTACCTACATATATGCATACAACCTTTCTTCCAAGAGTTGAATCTCTCAACCCAAATAATACAGGGACAGTCAGAGTGCCTCAGCCCCATACTCCCACCCCTTTGTCCCACCTCTTCAGGCTACCAAAGCTTTGACAGGTATTACATGTGCATTATAATATATAGGACACATACACATATATACTGGGTTATATATGGGAAGGCTGTAGAGAGGCCATGTGATGTAGTGGATAGGACTGCCTCAAAGTCAGGAAGACCAACCTCTGTAACCCTGGGCAAGTAACAAATCCTTTTGGTGTCCTAGGACTATAAATTACAGAACAGTTGTTGATCTTTGGTAGTGGGACTTTCCTCACCTGGAATTTTCTATATCTTCTGAACAAAGAAAGTGTGATATTTATGTAGATAAATACTTGTGTATACATATGTACATAATAAGGACATATGCCATATACATATGCACAGTGTGAATATATATCTGAGACTATGTATACAGTATTAAGGAATGCATTTATTATGTTTAAATGTATATTGTATTTAAATGTAATCCATAATTACACAATATGTATTATATAAAAATGTGTGTAATATACACTATGTGATAAAATATGTGTATCGCATATATACTCGCAGTGTATCACTGTGTATATACTGTGTACATATACGGTGCATGCACAATGCCCCCAAACGCCCATCAACATTTCAGTGATCCAATCTATACGCGTGTGTGTATTTAGGTGCACATGGACCAGCAGCCCCAATCAGAGAAACAAACGGAAAAATGCAAGCGTGCCTATCCTCCGGGGCTCGCTGGGAAAGCGGCACCTGGCCGGTGGACGGAGAGTGGCCAGCTGGGCCGGGAGCAGGGGCGCAGGTGAGCTCCGGGGCGGAGGAGGAAGAGGAGGTGGAGGAAAGCGCAGAGAGGGCTAGCGCCCGAGGCCGGAGAGGGTCCCACCCGCCGGGCCGGGCATCCCCGCTAGCCCGCCCCTGCCCCCGCCCCCTCCCCGCCCGCGGCTCCTCCTCGCTTCGCCATGGTGGAGCAGGGAGACGAGGCGCCGCTGTTGCGCTGGGCCGAGGGCCCAGCCGTGTCCCTGCCACAGGCCCCCGAGCTCCAGGCCAGCGGCCGGGGATGGGGCGCGGGGGGCGGCGGCGGGGGGCTGGGGAGCGGGCCTGCATCCGGGGCCCGGCGGGCTGCAGAGCCCGGGAAGAAGAAGGAGGAGGAGGAGGAGGAAGAAGATGAGGAGGAGGAGGCGGAGTTCGGTCCGGGGGAACTGCTGCGGCGGCAGTCCGGGCGTCTGCCCCTGGAGGAGGAGGAGGACCAGGTGGTGGCCGTGTTCGTGGTCACTTTCGATCCCCGCACCGGTAAGAGTCCCGCCGGAGCCCACCTGGGCTGTCGGCCTGGCATCTGCTGCTGCTGCCCGCTGAATTGGGCGGGGGGGGGGGTTTCGGTGCGCGCGCATCGCACCAGCACACCTGCACTCCAGCCCCGTAGGGCCCCCCATTGGCAGCGGAGGGAGCGATAGCCTCTGTCACTGTCCCGCGGCTTTCTGGCCCCGCGGGCTGCGGAGTCTGACACCCCAAGCCCCTGAGTGCGGGTCAGGCAGCGGATCTCCCCGTTACCTGAGCAGGGAGCACGCCCACCTCCGGCTAGGGGTGGGGTGCGGCTAGCTAGCTCTTCAGGTGACTTCCCCCAGCATGGGGCTGCTGTAACCCTTTAGGAAGGCTGTTCCCTTCACCTTTCCATTGACTTTACAAATTCCTATCCCCTGGCTTCCTAGCAGGTCCTCAGTCCCAGCTGTGCCCACAACCCATCCCCACCTAGCGGTGCTCGCTCAGCCTCATTTACCCTGGAGATGAGTAATCACGGCAGGTTTTTCTTACCTGACTAGAGGAGTTCCCCCGCCCCCCGCCCCTTTGAGAGGAGAATTCCGGTAGCTACCTTCTCTTGAAACGTGCCTTTAGGTATTCTGAGACCTTGTTCCAGTGGATACGTTCAGTTTTTTCTTTGATCCTCAGGATTTCCTGACGTTAGAAGCGGAGTAAGGAGATTGAACTAGAAGCCTCTTTAAATAAAGCCTCTTCAAGGCTATTTGGTGTGGGGTGGGGTAGGGAAGAGGGAAGAAGTTTTCGAATGACTACGTTACTTTATGTATTTCACGGAGTGCTGGTAGAATGAGTATAGATTTTTCCTGGGCATCTCAAAAGTAACATAAGTCAAACAACTCATTATCCTTACCCCTACCCAACCCACATGTTCTCTAATTTTCGTTATTTTTCTAGAGAGCACTACTCCCCTTTCAGTTAGTCAATAAACATTTATTAAGTACCTACTGTGTGCCAGGCACTTTTCTAAGCACTGGGGATACAAAAAGGTGCAAAAGACGGTCCCTGCCCTCAATGAGCTCACAATCTAACAGGAGAGACAACAAGCAAGCAAATACGTACAAACTGTTTTCAGGGAAGATAGGAAATAATTGAAAAAGGGAAGGCACTAGAATTAAGAGAGGTTGTGAAAGGCTTCCTGTAGAAGATGAGATTTTAGTTGAAACTTAAAGACTGCCGTGGCACTGGGATTTTAGTTGGATTTAGCAAGATGAGGAGGGAGAGCATTCTAGAAATGAAGGGGCAGCCAGAGGAAATGTCCTGAGCTGAGAGATCCAGTGTCTTGTTCATGAAATAGAAATGAGGCCAGTGTCACTGGATAGAAGAGGACATGTTGGAGGGAATAAAAGTGTAAGAAAACAAAAGGTAGGAAGGGACCAGGTTATGAAGGGCTTTGAAAGCCAAAGAGAAGATGATGTGATTCTGAAGGTAATAGTGAGCCACTGCAGTTTGAGTAGGGGTGACACTGTGGGATCTGATCTTTAGGAAAATCACTTTGGTGGTTGAGTGGAGGAAGACTGAATGGTGGAGAGACTTAAAGTAGACAGACTTACCAAAGGCTTATTAGAATAAGTCTGAGTGAGGTGATGAAGGTTTGTGCCAGAGTGATGGCAGTGACAGAGCAGAGAAGAGGGCACATTTGAGAAATGCAAAGGTGACATAGACAGTCCTTGGCAACATAGTGGGTGAAAGATAGTGAGGAGTTGGGGCTGACACTTAGGCTATGAGACTGAGGGACTAGGAGGATGATGGTGTTGCCCTCTATAGTGACAGGGAAGTTAGGAGGGAGAGAAGGGTCTAGGGGAAAGATAATAAGTTCTCTTTTGGACATGTTGAGTTTAAGATGTGTACCGGACAGCCTGTTCAAGATGTCTGAAAGGCATTTGGAAATTGGAGATCATAGGTCTACAGAGAGTTTAGGGCAGGACAGGTAGATTTGAGAATTATCAGCATAGAGATGGTCATTAAATCCATCGGCTCTCATGAGATCACCTGTAGAAAAGAGAAGCATCCCCAGGACAGAGCCCTGTGGGACACCTATAGTCACAGGTTATCCCAATTACAGTTAGTTACCCCCAATTTGCAAGTTTGGTGTGTTGCCCTTTTTTTCCCTTCTTCAGTCACTGCAGTATATCCGTTCAGGTGACTAATCTTGTCATTTATTTCCACCTCCAAGTCTATTGCATCCATCTCATTTTTTCCATTCACACAGCTCCTACCTTGATTCACCGTCTCTCACTTCAAGTCTTCCTTCTCCAGTTCATCCTCCACACAGCTATCAAAGTAACTTCAATAAAGTGCAAGTCTGATCATGTCAGTCTCCATTCAATAAACAATGTTTCCCTGTTACTTCAAAGATCAAGTATAAACAATTTTGGCATTTAAAAGCTCTAGAGTAGAAATTCCTGTTGGTAATTATGCTACCTTCATAAAAACTATGGTCCATTAGACCAAATTAGACTTTTTTCCTAAACGTGACACACTTGTAGCCCTGCATTGGGTGTCTCCCATGCCTGGAATGCTCTTCCTTCTCAACTCTGCTTCCTAAAATCCTTCATTTCCCTCAAGGGTTGGTTCACACACCAATTTATACGTGAAGTCTTTACTGATGGCTCTTGTCCCACCAAATTACCTTGTATTTAGAGGCAGAATTGCATTGTGGCTGAATAGAGAGCTCGCCTTTGAACCCAGAAGACTTGGGTTTAAGTTTTGTCCTGGCCACATGCTTTCTCTAGGCTACATACATTTAATCTCTTAGTGCCCTGGTAACTTAAAACTACAAATTGCAGAGAAGGTATAAACCTAAATTGGAAAAGATAGTTTTTTTTTTTTAATCTGAGAGCTCTCCATGCCAACGAAATCACAGATGCAGTCTCTGTCCCTAAAAAACACACGCATACAGACGTTCTGTCCCCTAGCCAGGTCATAAGCTCTTGAAAGAATAGTCCACTGCTGTCATCATGTCCCCAGCATGTAGGCCAGTGCTTGGTTGATGGGAGTGTTTCCATAGGGTGAAACTGAGAATGTATACCCTTATTCCAAAGAACTCGGACTAGTGTGATGGCCGCTCAACTTAATTGCTGGGTTGCTACTTGGTATACTAGTAGAAAAAGAAAGGATTTGAAGTCCAGAGTTCAAATTCTTACAAAGCTCCTTATTTGTTGTGTAACCCTTGGGCAAATTACTTAACCTATTTTCAACCTCAGTTTTCTCTTCTGTGTATGTAGAGCTACTTAAACCTCCTGTAAGAGATTGTAAGAATCTGGTGAGATTATGCATGTAAGGTGATTATCCATGTGGTTTATGAGTATCTATTATGTACAAGGATAGGATAAGCATATCCATTGTCCTTTGGGGTATGACTACAAAGGGTGGGATTTTTATCTTTCAACCCTACCTAACTGGGGAGGGGCTTTAAGGATCTCCAGAGTTGATGTTCCCGCTGTTAGGAAGAGCCTTTTGTTTAAGAATTCAGAGCTGTACTACTAGCCAGAGGACCCCCTTTTTTTTTCTTTTTAGTGAGGGTTAAGTGACGTGCTGTGTTATCACACAGCTACTAAGTGTCAAGTGTCTGAGGTCGGATTTGAACTAAGGTCCTCTTGACTCCAAGGCCAGAGCTCTATCCACTGCGCCACCTAGCTGCCCCTCAGAGAAATGGTTGTACCATCAATTCTAAATTAAAATGGATACTTTTATAAAGGAAAATATTGCTCATGCCCACCCACTAATAGACTTCAGCACTAAACTAAGCTGTTCCTAGTCAGAGTCTAAGAGGAACTAGGAGGAAAAGGGGTGGCCAAGAGCGGTTAGAGAAAAGGTAAGAATTCCCCCTCTAGAATTTTTTTTGGGGGAAGGAGTGCTGTTTGGCCCTTTTGAATTTATTAATAATAATAAATAATAATGTGCAGTGGGTGAATTTATACACTAACTTAGCTTTTCATTTGTGGTGCTAAACACATTTTACAAACACAGCTTATGCTTAGAGCACCTTTGATTTTTGGAAGAAGGGAAAGCTACCCTGAACCTGTAGCCCTTGGTGAACAGAAAAGACCAGGACCAAAAAGAAGGTGGTGCCCATCTAACCTCAGTTGTTGTGGGGGAAGGGAAGTGAAAGTATACTTGTGTGTATTGATAGTGGATAATATTCAATGATAGTGGATATCAGGAACAGGAATGGTGGTATGGTAAATTTAACCCAGGTACCATTTTCTATCAAAGCTGTTCTGTCATTGGCTCAGATGGGAGGAAGTTGGTGTGAGAGGAGAGACAGTCTTAGATAAGGATGTTATCTATCTCTGTTTCTTCTCTCTCTCTCTCTTTTTTTTTTAGGAAGTAGCTCTTCTATTCCCCCAAGCTATTATTATTATGGACCATAGAGTTGTGTCCCCAAATGCTTTAGGACAGATATAAAAATGTAGGAGACAAAATGGAACAAATGTCCTTAAGAGATGATGGGGTTTTTTTCCCACCCTTCAAGTGCTCCATCTTCTGAGAAAACATTTGGATGATGCTCCTTGGCCCTAGGTTGACATTTGAACATTTTGACTTGAACAGTCTACAGTCAGTGTGCATACCTGTATGTAGAATTTGCCTCAGGTGATACCATTGGCACCAAAAAAAAATGGAGTATAGACAGCTGAGAGAGCTTGAGGAGACAAGTTTTCTTTGAGGTGTTACTGCTTCTCTTTGATGTCTGAGACTTCTTTTTCATTTGAACAAACATCCGTGTGCCAAGGGAAAATCACATGGTCTGGGTCCTCAGGGAGATAATACTCTAGGAGGCTAGAGTGAACACATATACACAGGTGATTTTGAGGCAAGTTAGAAAATGATGAAGTGCCGTGCGGAGGTAAAATGGAGATCCTGTTTAGCGGACATGGTCAGAGAAGGATGCTTGGAGGTAGCTGCTGAGCCTAAAAGGATGCCGGGAGGCAGAGACATTATTCCAGGCCAGGAGACTGGTGTGTGCAGGAGTCAGC